CACCCATGTTTTTTCTCACTAGAGTATTAAATGGTGCTGTTTTACTAGGCCAAAAGCAATGCAAACCAACTCTCACCAATTATGAAAAGAGAGATAAAAGGGTAAAATTGTGAAAAAATAATTAATGCTGCATGGAGATAATACAACGACAGATAAAAGTACTTAAGAGCAAATTTCTTAAACGTCAGTTATAAAAAAAGGGAGGGAGTATTTGTATAACTTATTGTATCATAATCTAGGCAGAAGGGAGCCTAAGGAGGCTATTATAGGTGCTAATGAATATACAGACCCAACTCAATGAATAAAATATTATGAGATAATTTTTAAAAATTTTTTGTTGCTGATGAAATTTGAACTCTTACCAAAGATTCAAGGAAGGACTTAAGACTCTCTCCGATGGCTACCAGTGGTTTTCCTGCTCCATTACTTGGTTCGGCAAATTTTCTTTTCTCTTGCCTTTGTGGGGCAGAATGATGATGTCCAGTTTAGGGCAGCCAAGTCATGATTGCTGGGCATTTAATCCAAAGGTTACAAGTAAGAGGAGAAGGGGAAAAAAAAAAATTTTCCAAGCTTGTTAATCCTCCGTACGTGCAGTTGCCTTGGACATAATTAAGGCTGACTAGTCAGTTCAAATACTAGGCTTTGAGACCCCACATTATTGGAGTGAGATATGGTTGATATCAATCCACCTGTAGGGCAGAGCAACTGAGAATCTTTTCCTGATAGTACTAATAAGTTACTAACTTATTATTATGATAAAATTTTTTTCACGGTAAGTTGGCAGAATCTACCAGCTATTGCAAGTTATTCTGCGAATAGGATTGATACGAAATATATAACATAAGCTTTGTCCAAAAAAAAAAAAAATTCCATACAGCTTGAGTAGTACTACTCTACGAGAATGTCAAATCTGTCATATACATCCGCAATCTTTCTCATCGTACAATTTTGCTGATAATCTCTTATATTGGTTGGACCAATGACTTAGCATCCAAGCTCCCAATTATACAATCTTCATTATTCGTTCTGTTATTTTCTCGGCGAGGTTACATACGGATCTGTGGCAGAAATATGCATTGGAAGGCTTTAAACATTTTTTTTTTTTTGCTTTTCCATGTCTCCTCTCGTATGTTTGATGGCACAAAAGTTAGGTAGTTTAACATCACCCGAGCTTCGACCGAAGCGAAGATCATTCTCGTGGTTTGTTTGGAATTCCTTTGGGTGATTTGTTTCTTTACTCTCAAGCTCGGCCAAATGCCAGCTTACACCGAAAACATATTAACTTTGTTTGGATGGAAGTGTTTTTTAAAAACTAGTTTTTCAAATATAATAAAAATTTTTAAAAAGTACTCTAAAAAGTAATCTAAAAATTAATATAAATTTTTTTAAAATTTTAAAAAATATCTCAAAATATATTTTAGAGACTCTTCTACTCTTAAATATCCCAAAATATTTTCTAAAAATATTATAAAATATAATCTAAAAACTCTGCTATAACAAAATTTTTCAAGATTCATTAGCCCTTTTCACAAGATTTCGATTCATCAATTATCCAATTTAGTCGAATAATCGGTGAAAAACTGAATGCATTAAGACACTAAAGTGCACGAGTGACGAGATCGTATTTCAAATGAAAAGTTAAAATGCATTAGACAGTAATTTCAAAATAATTTTCTCGCACATATAACGACCCCATTTAGAGAAGCTAATGGATCAAGTCAGCTTGATAAACTTTTGTCAAGCGCAGAATTTGCTAGGACTAATTTCTATGCTGTAAGCTATTCAGCTAATGAAAATCATCCTCCACCACACAGGAAACGGCTTTCTTTCAAAACGGACTAACGTATAACAATGAGATGATTCAAAATCATTTTCTTGCACATGTAACAACCCCATTTAGACAAACTAATGAATCGCGCCAAATTTAACTTGAAAAACTTTTGTCCGGTTACCAATTTGCTAATTTCTAAAAACAGTCTTGTTGTTTCTATTTCTCCTTTAAACAGTAAACAATGAAAAGGAAAGAGTTCAAACAAGATAAAGAAAAGACTTCAACCTCCGGAATCTGTCGCCGACCAACCTAACTCACTCAGCAAACGAACATCAAAAGGCAAATTAAGCAACTCCACTTGTGAATTGTGAATCATGAAGGTGTGCGGCAGAGAAGAGAAGAAAATGTGGGCTTTGTGCGTTATTTTTAAAATGTCTTCTTGTCGCATTGAATCCTGCCTCTCTCAGAATTATCTCAAAATAAAAAATGGTTATGCGGTCACGGGACACATCACATTTAGGTGCTATAAAAACACCTCCTATTTATTATTATTTTTCGGGGTGTTTTTGAAAAACATTACTATAGCACTGTATATGCAAAACTTTTACTATAAATATTTTTTGAAATATTTGACATATTATATGAACGAAATGTTTTGTGAATTATTTTTATTTGTGTATTACTATAACATTATAGTTGAAAAACTTCTTTTTTTTTAAAAAAAAAAAATGGCCAATCCAAACAAAAGTAATTGAATTAATTAGTGAACTGTTTTTTTATTATTTTTATTTTTGGGGTAAGGTACACACTAAGGTAAACAAGAATTTTAGCAAGTTACGAAACAACTTGTATGCTCAAACCTGATTGGTTCGCGACAAAGTCAATGGCTTCTTTCTTAAAATTTCTTATTTTTTAAGTCCTAGTCAATCCAATAAAAAGAAAAGCAGTCCTAATCAATTTTATGAGTGGCATTCCATGAAAATTTGTGGGGTAAGAAGGTATGTGTTTAGGAAGATTTGGGTGCGTCTTAGAATTTTGTTGGGCGACGAAGTCCTTCCCAACTCTCCCCAGAATAAAGGTAAATAATTTGTGCGCCATGACTGGATGAGACTTGTCGGAAGACATTCGCCTGTAATATACCTACCTGAAATTTCATCTTCTATACATCAAATCACCCAGCAGGTACTAATTTCTTCGCCTGTAATTTGTCTTTGTGATCTCCTGCAAATCAAATGATTAACTTCAAAAGCAAGCTTAGGCTTTGGAGTAGAGCATAGACCCATCATTTTCTATCATGAAACGGTTTTATTTCCCGCGAAAGCCTTGATCCAGTGGATAAAATTGAAACGTAAAAAGTTAGGGGTTCTGCTTTAAAATTTTCCTTTCTTAAATCTCACTCATTCTTTGCTAAAAAAAAAAATAAATTAAAAGGGTTGTACTTGTTAATTAATAATTGTGGCCCAAATTTTTCAAAACAAAATCAAGTACGAGCATATGATATAAGAACATCATGAGATTCCTGTGGGGTGATTGATGTAGTAAGAATTAGCAACGACATGCATGATAGTGGTCTTGCATACACTTATTAATTAACATAGTAGAAAAAAAGATATTGCAAGTTAAACTACATCAATCTTTTTATTAATTTTTTGGACCTCTCTTCTTCTCTTTTTTAGCTTCAACAAGCATCACCGAGGCTGACATTTTGATTTGCAATTTTTTCTTCTTTCATTTGAATCTGTTAGCACCAGTAGTTTCTGAGTAAATACTGATCATTAGGAAAAAAAAAAAAAGCGGAATAAGGAATTAGAAAGAGATAGTAGATTAAATAAAATACTCTAGCGTAAATAAACAAAAAGCCAAAATTGTTTGGTTGTGGTTGAAAATTGTGTTTATGATGCAAGCAGTAAAAAAATTTGAAAATTTTTTTTGGGGCAAATCTTGATAACCAAACATAAGTGAAGGATGGAACTAACAAAATAGTCTCTAATCATATTTGTGGTATATGTTTGAACGGTTGGGTATGAAAGTATTTATATTATTATGAATTTTGTTTTGCATATTATATAACCAATTATCTACCTTCAAAATATTATAACCGTAGTGTGTTTGGATTGCCAAATTATCCTAAACAATATTTCGTTTGCATCATACATAAACACGTTTCCCAATTCACCTTTTTATATCTCTAACTACTTTTTATTTTATATACATCACATCACAAAAAATGCTACAGTAATTATTCCAAATAATAGTACTCTATCCCAAATTATTGTTTTGTTTTGTTTTGGTAAGTAGGAGCTATTAAGTTACACCTACAAAGTACCGTGGCAAACTAGATTCCTCCCACTTAACGTCTAGCCAACAAAACCACTTGATGCTGCTTACTAGAAAATGACTGTTAGCAGTGAACTTAGCTCCCAAAATTACAAGGAATTTGTACATTTGTTACCCTCTCTTTAGGTACCTTGATTAAATCTCAAGACCTTGGGATGGCCATTTTACACTCTTCATCGATATAGCAAGGCCATTATGTGAACCTTCGAATTGACAATGCAATAAAATCAATTTCTACCATTTTTGTTATAGGCTTTTCTTTTTTTTTCTTTTTTTTTTAAAAAAAAAAGAAGACAAGAACGAGTATATTGGAGGCTCTAACTTGATTGTTAATCAAAATCCAAAAAAAAAAAAAAAAAAAAAAAACCCACTTTGCCTGCTAGTCAATGTCTCCTCAGTATTAATTTCAATAAGGAAGGTTACCAGTTAAGCTAAACCTATGTAGCTTGATTTGTGCGTGTTATCCTTGTACAGAGGCTCTGTATTGTTTCAATTTCATCGAGTGTCCCTAAAAGGACGTTAGGATTATAAATCCGGTAAAATTTAAATATTAATATCTGACAGTAACGCTTGAATTCCCGCATTCTAGGGCTAAACCTGGTAAATAAACCTAAACACTAAACCCGGACATACAAATATACAATACAATGGGGGGGAAAAAAAAACCCAGCTTAATTAGCCGTAATAAACTAATCCAGCCTAGCCTTAATGTCGGTTTTCGTGTTAAGCACCTCCAATTCCAACTCCAGCTCCCTCTCTTGCACGACATCATTCCTATTTGCCCTGAGTGGGGTCCCACACCCACCTCTCACCAGAGCCGGCCCCACCCAGCCACCACTGAATAACCCAAAACCAGCTTCAAATTTTAAGACGGAGAAAACATTCCTACAAAACAAGCAAACAAAAGCAAAGTTTAGAGTGAGAAACTAAAACAAAAGGCAACAAAATTTACAACCATTTCCAGTTTCCACTTCACCTTTTCATTCATTTCTTTTTTTTTTTTTCAAATATACTGAGAATTTCATGATATTCTTATTTTTTTTAAAATTTTTCACTTGTATTTATTTTAGAGAGGGAAAGCTAGAGAGCTTTTTGTAGGGAGTTGAATTGAATCATTATTATTGTTATAGGAGAAAAGAAACTTTGTTGTGTTTTTGTTGCATCGGCGTCGCCGAAAATTCCGAAGCTTTTGAGCCTGAGTTGGCTCCGATCTGAACTCACTGAGTCGGAGCTCCGTTTGGTCGGTCTCTTTCTGCTTGATGAGTTGGAGACGGCAAGGAGGAGGAGATCGATAGTTACGGAAACTCTTCAATGGTAAGTCCAGGCCGTGACCACGGTTCTTATTGCTGCTTTGAATTTATTTTGACTGATTAAGCTTTTCTTTTTTTTTTTTTTTGTTGCCTCGAGTCAAATCTGTTCAGCTTAGTTTCTACTAACAGTAGTATTCCCTTTTTTAATTTCCTTATTTGTTGGAAGTTTGTATTTTGTTTTTATTAAATTAGTCTATTTACCTTTGGTACGACAAAATTGTCCAAATGTTTATATTACGGGCACAATATGCATTATGCACATCTAATTGATCGGATACTTGTAAATAATTCACGAATTATTGGAGGATTTTTTTTTTTAAATTTATCAACAGGTACTTAAATATAATCGGTAAATTTTTATCTTATTCTGAATTGGGAATGAGTACTTTGTTTTTACCTTCCACGTAGGATTCAAATGCAATCGTTAGTTGGTTCAACTAGGATATTAAATGTCGGGAAATAAAATATCCAGAGTCTTTCGTAATTTGTAGTAGGAAAGGCATTGGCTATGCCTTAAGAAGTGTTAAAAAAATTAATTTTACGCTGTCAAAGCAAATATAAAGGGAGAAAGTAAATCATGATCGTTAAGGCTCTCAGATTATTGTACTTTTTATCTGTTTAGAGTCTTGTAACTGAAAAATTGAGCCCCCAGTTGCAGTTACATTGAGAAAATAAATCGTCAAAGTTCTGTAAAATGAGTGGCCTAGTCCGAGTAAGTTTATTCTCAGCATGTTTCCTGCTTAGTTATGCAATTGTTAAAGCCCTCTTTTTGCTGCCCAACCTTCAAAAGCAACTGGTGGTTTAGAGTAGGTTATGTGGCAGAGAGTGTTTTATTGAGTCCTGTAATGATCTAATGCTACCAAATGTCACTTTCTCCTTAGTTTCCAGGAAAAGCAGATTTTAGGCCAATGTGAGTGGTTTTCATTGTTTATGTATTTGGGGTTTCTTTTAAAATACTATGTGTGAACATCTTCATGAATTTGTTGAGGCTTCTTTTTGAGGACTAACGGACAAGGCACTTGAACTCCTCACTCCCCCAAAATAATATCTTTCCCTTTTGCATCTATCAATTTAGTGCACTTTGCACCTAAACTTTTCTTTACAGATCCAATTTCTGCTTCATAGCATACAGTGAACTGTATAGCATACTAGAGCCAATTTTAGTGGCAAACACAACAATGTAGCAAGAAAAATTTCTTGATTGTGGAAATTGATGCACTGTGTACCATGCCGAACTTAAAAGAGTTCATATTTGGTTTTCAAGTAACCCCCCTTTCGCATTTTCAAATGGCACATAAGATTTATGTACATTGCCACAATTACAAGGTACTGACTTTCTGCCAAAAAGTGCTTTAAGAGAAACTAACATGGAGGTACTGACTTTCTGCAAAAAAGTGCTTTAAGAGAAACTAACATGGAATAAATTGGTGAAGTAAGTCTAAGGAAAAGAAATGACTAGACATCTCTTACAATATACAATTGATATGTGGGTTAGCATTTTGCGTGTCAAAAGTTATTCTTGTACTCTAAGTAGATTGGCATTGAATTAGCTGTTCACTTCGGTGTATCACATGCTTTGGGTTTGTATTCTGAATTTGGTGTTCAAACAGCACTTCTGTGAAGCTTTTGTTTGTAAATTCTCTATTTAAATTATTGTTATATTAATTGAGGTGTATGGCGTTCCAGTTGTTGGGCTTTTAGATTATCTTTCTTGCACATTCTGCTAGACTCTAGTTCCCAATGTTCCTTGGAGAACTAGGCAGGAGGTAGCCTTTTAGAGAAACAAACTAAATTAGCTTTAGGATCCAGTGTATCTAATTTCTTTGTATCTGTATGATTTGTTTATGCTCTGATTGGCTGCAGTAAGAATTCCTTCATAGAAGATGAACAGTTTATCTATGTTGAAGTTCTCTACTTTCTGATGCTCTTTCTTTGTTTTTTACATTTCTGTGTGTTGGGTTATACAAGTTGATACTTGTCTTAATTATTATGAGTTTAAATAATGTTGTTGTGAATTTAAATCTATTAATTTAATGGTATTGGTTCTTTTGCAGGCATCGCCAGTTAATATTATTGTTGGCTCTCATGTATGGGTTGAGGATCCAGTCTTGGCGTGGATCGATGGGGAAGTAACTCAAATTAATGGTCAAGATGTTCATGTTCACACAACAAATGGGAAAAAAGTGAGTGCAGCTATATTCATAGCTAAACTTTTTCACTGTAGTCTCTTGTTATGGCGGTGGCTCAAATGGTGTGCCGAAATGAAAGTCTTAATATGTGATAACCTGCTGTTGGTAGACGTTAAGAATCTTGGTGTGTCCTGTTTGATGTTGGAGCAATATATTTTGTGTCTCTTGTATGATCATGCAGTCTTCCTATATTTGCAGTTTTTTTTTTTAATCTGCTTCAGCTTAAGAATCTTCCATTGGTAGTTTAGCCTCCTGTAAGCTTAGCCTGCATATGCTGGTACTTTCCACTTATAGTTGATACCAAAGCAATCCTGTATATGGTACTAGTGTGGCTTGAGCTACGGCTGTGATGGCTGATTGTAATGCTCCAACAACTAGTTCAAAATGCATAGGTGAAAGATATTTCAATAGCTTCTAAGAATTTAGACATCTTGCTCCTAGCTGCTTGGGCTTAAGTGTTTTGAGCCGGTAACTTAGGCTCTACGAAGTTGTTTGACAGGAATAGTTATAGGTGGCCCTGTAACATTGTGCTGCAACGGAATATAATAGTTATTGGTGGCCCTGTAACATTGTGCTGCAACGGACTATGGTGGTGATAAGGTTTTTTGATTGTGGCAGAGGGCCAATGGTAGTATGCCACCATGGTCTTTCACCTTGGGCAAGCGGGTAGTTGTTGATGAAAAAGCAAACTTACAGGGTAGGCATTTTTTTTATGTTCAGCAAAGTAGACAGCAATTGAAAAGTGAATAAGTGACATTTACAGAACTTCTATTTTCATGTAACTTCTGGCATTTCTTAACGTAGATCAAATTCTTCACTAGCTGCCACTTCTATGTGCAATATCCTGATACTTCATTCCCCTGCAATTAGGAAATTTAGCTTTATTCTACTTCACTTTGAGCCTTTATCAACTCAACATGAGCTTTAACTCACTTTGCTTTATATGCCTTTGAATGATAATTGGTAAGTGGATTAGATGCCTCAATACCTTGGTCGAAAATTGAAATGGGGTAAAGAAGCCATGCAAATTCAGCTGTTAACTGTTAGTTGAGTTTTAGCTTAGAACGTGGTTGGATGCTTCTGAGAAGCCACTCTTTTACATGGAATTTGAAGGTTCTTATGATTGAAAGTTGATTTTAGGTTGTTGCAAACATTTCAAAAGCATTTCCAGAGGATACCGAAGCTCCTCCTGGAGGTGTGGATGACATGACTAAGCTCTCTTACTTGCATGAACCAGGTGTTCTGCAAAACCTGGCTACCAGATATGAACTCAATGAAATATATGTAAGCTTCAGAATATCTTTTCAGGACCTTGCAAAATGCTTGTTGAAGAAAAGTATAATTGATGTAAGAACCAATCTTCTCATATTTTTTTTTTTTCTTCAATCTATTGCACAGACATACACAGGAAATATATTGATAGCAGTGAATCCTTTTCAAAAAATACCTCACCTGTATGATAGTAACATGATGGAACAATATAAAGGAACAGGATTTGGAGAGCTTAGTCCACATGTATTTGCAATTGCCGATGTTTCATACAGGTGAGTACTCAATAATCTTTGAGTGTTTTTATCTTTTGAATGGGATTTTTCTTCCACTGTCTTTTCCCTTACTAGCCGCTTCTCAACATTTTATTGCCTTCAGGCAAATGATCAATGAGGGAAAGAGCAACTCAATTTTGGTCAGTGGTGAAAGCGGTGCTGGTAAAACTGAAACAACGAAGATGCTCATGAGATATCTTGCATACCTGGGCGGTCGTTCTGGAGTTGAAGGGCGGACGGTCGAACAGCAAGTTCTAGAAGTAAGATGGACTGTTTTCTTCTCTTTTTCGTCTTCTCTTGCTCGTATAAAAGGATGCAAAAAGCTGTTTTCATTTCTAATTGTCATTTGGATGGGCATTGTCCCTGACTTGTTTATGCTAACTTTACAGTCCAATCCTGTTCTTGAAGCATTTGGAAATGCTAAAACTGTGAGGAACAATAACTCAAGGTGAGAAAGTTTATTGGCTAGAGTTATTTACTTGGTTTACATATACTTTGATTCATTGTATCTTAGGGTGTCTTCTGTTCACACATCATCTTGAAATGTGTGATAATACTTTTTCTGATCTTTTGCTTGTGATTTCTCAATGTAGTCGTTTTGGTAAATTTGTTGAGATACAATTTGATAAGAGCGGGAGGATATCTGGGGCAGCTATACGAACTTACCTGCTGGAAAGATCTCGTGTATGCCAGATCTCTACTCCTGAGAGAAATTACCACTGCTTTTATCTTCTTTGTGCAGCACCACCGGAGGTAAGAGTTAATGGGTTGTCCTATTTCCATTGGACGGGTGACTTTTACTAAGATTTTACCTCTCTTGTACTAATTATACTGGCTAAATATATGAAAATGATTATTCGACTTTAACTTGCAGGAGAAGGAGAGGTATAAGTTGGGAAATCCAAAAATATTTCATTATCTCAATCAGTCCAATTGTTATGAGCTTGATGGAGTTAATGATGGTGAAGAATATGTTGCAACAAGAAGGGCTATGGATATAGTTGGAATCAATGAGGAAGAACAGGTTGGCCTGCCAACGATTTCCTTGAGCTTTTTGTGCATATTCTTTAGATTTCTTACATTACACGACATCTTTCCAGGAGGCAATATTCAGGGTTGTGGCTGCAATTCTTCACCTGGGTAATGTTGACTTTGCAAAGGGGCAGGAGATAGATTCTTCTGTGATCAAGGATGAGAAATCTAGGTTCCATCTTGATGTGACAGCTGAATTGCTCAAGTAGGCATATTCGCCTTTCATTCTTGAGTAAGATTTTTAAATTGCAATTAGGTATCTAAAAGGCAGAAACATGATGGAATAGGTGTGATGCTAAGAGCTTGGAAGACGCACTCATTAAGCGTGTGATGGTGACACCTGAGGAGGTTATCACAAGGACTCTTGATCCAGAAGCAGCTACTGGTAGCAGGGACGCTTTGGCTAAGACGATATATTCTCGTCTATTTGACTGGTAAGGAGTTCTAATTTTTCTAATTATTATCAAATATTTGAACATTTTTGGAGTTTGACCTTGTCTAATTTTAGTGACTGTTATCTATTTCCCCAGGATTGTGGAGAAAATAAATATATCAATTGGTCAGGATCCGAACTCAAAATCAATAATAGGAGTTCTTGATATATATGGGTTTGAAAGTTTTAAGCAGAATAGGTAACCCCTTACAAACATCTTTTGGGTACAGTGTTTTATCTGGAGTACAGTTTACAGCCTATTCTCATTGTTTTTTTTATTATGCGTGTAATTAGCTTTGAACAGTTCTGCATTAATTTTACCAATGAAAAGCTGCAGCAACATTTCAACCAGGTTATTGCTCTGTTTATCATATATTGGTCATTGCTTTGACTAAAAATTTGGACATTCTTTTCATCAATTTGTTTGACATAACATTTGCAGCATGTATTTAAAATGGAACAAGAAGAGTATGAGAAGGAACAAATTAATTGGAGCTACATAGAGTTTGTTGATAACCAAGATGTTTTGGATCTGATTGAAAAGGTATGCTACCTTATTGATTCTTGAGATTACAGATTTTTTGCTGATGTTTTCTTAATATGAGAAAGTCACTTGTTTGGCTATTGTATCATATGATTGTAGAGCTAATAATCAAATGGTTTCTTCTCCTTTTTGTTCATCATGTAGTGCCTTAGCTTTTTTTTCCCGCCTTCTCTGCTAAGGGCCTTGGCTTCTTTACTTAACTTGCCCTAAAATGTTGCAGAAACCTGGAGGAATCATTGCACTTCTGGATGAAGCATGGTCTGTAATTTTCCTTTCTTTTCTTTTTCTCCACCTCTATCAGAAATTGATTTTCATACTTAATGCCATTCAATCTTGGTTGCGGGTTGATATTTACGATAACTATTTGTTGTTTGCTGTGTCATTGTGGCACTTAGAAACTCATCAACAATATGGACAAGCTCAAATTTGTTTACCCACTTACACGACTTTACTTCTGCTTTAGTGCACTTTTGATATGTTTTGCTTGATGCAGCATGTTCCCCAAATCGACCCATGAAACATTTGCTCAGAAGTTGTACCAAACATTTGCAAAGAATAAGCGCTTCATCAAACCTAAGCTTTCGCGCACCAATTTTACAATATCTCACTATGCAGGAGAGGTATCAATGTGCATCCTATAAGGTTCTGTATAGAGCAGTTCACTGCAATCTTATGCTTTACTTCCTGTATCATTTGCAGGTTACGTATATGGCAGATCTGTTTCTGGATAAAAACAAAGATTATGTGGTGGCAGAACATCAGGATCTTCTGACAGCTTCAAAGTGTCCCTTTGTAGCTGGTTTATTTCCTCCACTTCCTGAAGAATCATCAAAGTCATCCAAATTTTCTTCTATCGGGTCCCGCTTTAAGGTACTTGCTGTCTTTGATTGCCTTATGGAGATGGCAAATTCATTCTTCAATTTACCTAGCATTACTGAACTGCTATACATGTGAAATACAGAGAATAGAACCCAGAGAGATGTAAAATTAAATAGTCTGACTGTTACCTTCATATAATCTAATTTAGCAGGTTTTACTTCAGGAGTGGCCAGTATTTTATTGTAAGCTGATGGCAAAGTTGTTGTTTGCTTGCCTATTCTTTGGACACCATGGTCTAAATTTAGTAATTTGCACGGCCACAATCTGCATTAAAATGAAACATGTAGTAGACAAAAACCAAATAGAACTATGTTGCTGGACTATTGTGCCTATTCTGTGAAACATGAAATCTTGACTAAAGTTATGGTCGACTGAATTACTATAGAAATCTTGTGGATGTTAAAGTTTTAGACCACATGAGATGCCATTATGATAAAAGTCATATCTGTGAAAGAATTCTCTGTATTGCTGTGTTAGCTCGCTTCTTTTTTCTGATTTGCAAGCGTTTCTGCCTATGTTCCTGAAGCTCTCTGTTTCAGTATGACACTGAAAGATGGGATGGCTGTACACTACTTTCAGTAAAACTGTGGATCTTGCTAAACTTTCAGACTTATGGTGGTAGTTTGATGTTGACTACCAATTATGTATGGTATTTTATGTTCAATACTGCACTATAGTTACTAGAGTATAGAGATTCATAATGAGTACAGCTTTTCACTGGTGCAAAGATGGCTCAAATATAGGCCCCAAAAATTCCAGGGAGCTGTTTACCAAAAGGCGACTGTAGTTCTCACACTCTTGGGCCGGACTTAATTTCCATGTTACTGGAAGAGGGTTAATTATACTACTGGGTTTGGGTTTTCAGCATCATCAAATTTGATGTTTAAGTTCATCTTCCAATGAGACATTTAATGTTCAGGAACTTGAATTTCTGGAGTTACTTTGTTAAGACACATTAAAGAGTTTGGCACCTCGGAATCCTGTTAGTTGAAATGTCAAAAGTTATTTATGAAACCTTTTTACATTCGGGCAACATTTTTTAGTATGTAAACTTCTTGATAAAACTTTTGAACAAATGATTTTCTTTGCTATTATTTTTTTACTAAAAATTTTGTCCGCTTTGAAGCACTTAAATAGTGTCTTTCTTAATAATAATAATAATAATTATTATTATTAGAAGAAGAAGGAATATTAGCACAGGATGCATATTTCTCAGGTATGCACTGGGACAATGTTTTCAAAGTCTCAAGTCTTGAGCTCACAAATTGTTTCCTTGTTATCCTTGAAGTTTTCATGGTTCTATCCTTTCAAAAATCCAAGAGTTTGCAAGAATGGCTGTTCCTCCTTTTCTTTCTCCAGTTCGAACAGCAGCATTTTGGTATATGTTGACGTCTCTTTTCTAATGTTTATCATCTATGTTGACACTTGCAGCTTCAACTCCAATCTTTAATGGAGACCTTGAGTTCAACAGAACCTCACTACATTCGATGTGTGAAGCCCAATAATGAATTGAAGCCTGCTATTTTTGAGAATCTGAATGTCATCCAGCAGTTGCGGTGTGGTGTGAGTATATGTTAAATCTTTTGCCCAGTGATTGTTAATGAGGTCTAAGGTGCATTTCTTTACTTCTTGTATTTCATATTCTTAGTATGCCCTCTACCATTTATAGGGTGTTCTGGAAGCTATCAGAATCAGCTGTGCTGGATACCCCACTAGGCGAAGTTTTGATGAATTTCTTCTGCGATTTGGTGTTCTTGCTCCAGAAGTTCTGGATGGAAGGTAAACTATTGGTTCTCTTTTTCTTAACAGAATTGACCTGGCAGGAAGAATAGCAGTGAGGATTGCATGCATTTCTGCGATCCTTTCATCTTGCAGTTCAATTATTTTCTCTAAGCATCTCTAGTTCATCTACTTCCTCGTGTCCTAACAAAAGTACCTTTGGCAGCTATGATGACAAGGTTGCGTGCCAAATGATTCTGGACAAAATGGGATTAAAAGGCTATCAGGTAAATTTGAACCTCTTCCCCCCTACTGAAATAAAGCTTTGTAGGTATGCTATTTGTTCAATTTTACAGGAGGACAAGCTATTTACAGTTTCAACATTAGAATAAAATGAGACTTTATTTGGTATTTCTGTTATGTTTCTTTTGTCCTCATTATGTTCTCATTGTGATGCACCAGCAGCATCGTCAAATAATTCTTTATATTAATATATGAAATGTCATTGGCTTTGCAGATGGGCAAGACAAAAGTCTTCCTAAGAGCTGGTCAAATGGCCGAGCTAGATGCGAGAAGAGCAGAGGTCCTTGGAAATGCAGCCAGGATTATTCAAAGACAGATTCGAACTTACATTGCTAGGAAGGAGTTCATCACAACTCGCCAGGCAGCAATTCAAATGCAATCATGTTGGCGAGGTATTCCTTACTTGTGGTTGTTTATGCAGTGATTATCTGCTTATTATCCTCTCTCTGTAAATTTGCTATTCAGCATGGACAAAGATAATAGAAGGCTCTCAGAGAAAATAAATAATGAATGCACTTTCTCTTGCTGTTTGTGCTATTGAATTCATTAGGTATATTAGCTCGCAAGCTATATGAACAATTACGCCGTCAAGCAGCTGCTCTGAAGATACAGAAGAACTTCCGCTGTTATGTTGCTTGGAAATCGTACTCAACATTGCAGCATTCTGCTATCACATTGCAGACAGGCATGAGAGCATTGAGTGCCAGGAATGAATTCAGATATCGGAAACAAACAAAGGCTGCTATTAAAATCCAGGTCCTGTTTGTGCCCATTATTCCATTTCACCAGAGATGCAATAGAAGCAGGGAATGAGAATAAATTTTTGAGTAATTGAAATAATAATTAATATAAGATATTTTTGTCATGCAGGCTCATGTGCGTTGCTACAGGGATTGGTCTTACTACAAAAGTCTGCAGAGGGCTGCTCTTGTTACTCAATGTGGTTGGAGAGCACGAGTGGCAAGGAGGGAGCTTCGCAAGCTTAAAATGGTTTACTCTTGTCCTTGATGTGATTTTATTCGTTAGACATTAACATGTTAACAGTTCATATTGGAGTGCCTTGATAACCAGTTACTTATTTTATGCATTAATTCAGGCCGCAAGGGAAACTGGTGCTCTCAAAGAAGCAAAGGACAAGCTGGAAAAGAAAGTGGAAGAACTTACATGGCGGTTGCAATTTGAAAAACGATTACGGGTATGTACTTCTATATTCAATGTATTCCCGTTGGATGGGTACCTTGTGACAATTGTTCTTGCATACAGACTGAACTGGAAGAAACGAAAGCCCAGGAAATTACAAAATTACAGGAGGCTTTGCAGGCAATGCAAGTTCAAGTAGATGAAGCAAATGCTAAAGTTATTAAAGAACGGGAAGCAGCAAGAAAAGCCATTGAAGAAGCTCCTCCTGTGATTAAGGAAACCCCTGTTATAGTTCAAGATACTGAAAAAGTTGAAGCATTAACAGCTGAGGTTGAACAATTAAAGGTAGTGAAGCTGTCTTATATTACTGTATTGTGTTGTGGATAATCAGTTGATGCAGTCATGTAAACCAAGCATATCAAATGTGATGGATAAATGTGTTTTTATTCATGATCAGTGTTCCTTCTGTTATTGGAATTAAGCCAAATGCCTGTCCTTAATATGCATTATTTACACAATAAGCTCTTACAAATCAGTTTGTGGTTGGTTTGCAAATGTGAAGAATTCAGACATAATAAGTGCTGCGATACATATCTAAAGCCTGGTAAAACAGTGAAAAGCTGGCATAGTTCTCCTAGCAGAGGCTTTTGGACCATTAGTAGTGTATATCTCTTGCGTTCTTGAACAAGCATGGCTTAACCTGCATGTCCTGATTAAACTTGTCAATATAGATTTGAAGAAATGTAAATCTTTTGTATATCCACCTTCAGAGGATGGTCATACGTGTTCCTCACTTTGTTTTGGCTCACTCATGGGCTTCAAGCTTCCAGTCAGTATTAAATTTTGGATAACAATGATGACCATTTATGGCGATAATTAGATTAAGGCCAAGAGTATTGACTTAGCCATTTTGCTTGTGCAGGCTTCATTGAATTCTGAAAGGCAAGCTGCAGAAGCAGCAAAGAAGGCTTCTATAGATGCTGAGGCCAGAAATTCAGAACAGGCTAAAAAACTTGAAGATGCAGAACGGAAAGTGGATCAGCTGCAGGAGTCTCTGCAGAGGTATGTTAACACGTTTTAAGTTTCAAGCGTGCTATAGTTGTTCTTGAACCACTGAATTGATCAAGTAGGTAGTAGAACATTTCTATTACCTTGATAAAGCAAATGCTATATACCAATATAAGAGTGACAGGTGGTCATTCTGTTCAACCTTTTTTTATCCTTCTAGCTTTGTGCCTGTTTAAGATTTCAATCGAAAGTTTTGATGCTGCTGTTGATCCTCTTGTTGTTCATCAAATGCATGTGTTTGCGGATTCTCTATCTCCTTTTGTCGTAGTTTGTTTCTATTGTCCTCTCTTTTCATTCATTCCCATGCTTGGTAACACATAATGTGCACTTGCAACCGTCTTTTTGAATCAGGCATGCTTAATCATGCACAAGCACATAGGCACTTGTATCCAGTTTTGCTTTTATTGCATATTATGGGGAAAAGTTGCAAATTTCCTCTTTATTTCTTGTTTCAGGCTTGAAGAGAAGCTCTCGAATACTGAATCAGAGAATCAAGTTCTTCGTCAACAAGCTTTGGCAATGTCTCCCACTGGAAAAACTATTTCTGCAAGACCAAAAACAACTATTATACAGGTAATATCACGCTTCTTGCTTATTTGAAGTTACATGCTATGTTGAGAAAAATAAAGATTGCTTGGTGTACATGCAGAGAACTCCGGAGAATGGAAATATTCCAAATGGTGAAACCAAGGTTGCACATGTAAGGAGCATCAGTACTTTTATTTGGGTAACAACCAATGGAAAGGGATGTTATTTCTTATTGTATGTTACATGTGTCAGGACATGACTCTTGCTATAGCCAGTCCAAAAGAGTCTGAATCTGAGGAAAAACCACAAAAGTTTCTTAATGAAAAGCAGCAGGTGGGTGCTTTTTGGATGCATAAAATATTATGCTTGTAATTCTTGGTTTTCCTATTTGATTTTTTTGGACTCTTTTCCTGCAATCCACTATCCTGCTGCAGGAGAACCAAGACTTGCTCATCAAGTGCATCTCTCAAGATTTGGGATTTTCTGGTGGCAAACCAATTGCTGCTTGTTTGATTTACAAATGCCTTCTTCATTGGAGATCATTTGAAGTTGAGAGGACTACAGTGTTTGACAGAATCATCCAAACAATAGCTTCAGCAATAGAGGTTTGTTGTTATAATGGGATTGCTAATTTTATTTTTCTTGTAGCCATAAATCATGATAATCTGCTCACTAGCATTTGCTGATGAATGTCATCAGAAATCGCTTACATGAGTTGTATTAATTTGAGCAACCTTTGTCCTCTAGGTCTCAGACAACAATGATACATTAACTTACTGGTTGTGTAATACTTCTACGCTGTTAATGCTGCTCCAACACACACTCAAAGCCACTGGGGCAGCTAGTTTGACTCCTCAAAGGCGGAGGTCATCATCAGCCTCACTTTTTGGGAGGATGTCTCAAGTATGGGCCTAAGATTTGATTTGCGTGGCCTTTTCTCTTGATCTTCTGTTTTGAATTCTGTAAATTCTTCTTTCTTCCTTAAATGCAGGGATTACGGGGATCTCCACAAAGTGCTGGGCTCTCATTTCTTAATGGCCGGGTGCTTGGTAGACTGGATGACTTGCGTCAAGTTGAGGCTAAATATCCTGCTTTGCTGTTCAAGCAGCAGCTTACTGCTTTCCTTGAGAAGATCTATGGGATGATTAGGGACAATTTAAAGAAAGAGATTTCTCCATTGCTTGGCTTGTGCATCCAGGTATTTCATGTCCTGTTGTTTTACAAATGTTTAGATTGCTGCAAGTTGCATCAGAAAACAATAAGCAGCTCTTACGAGTGTTTTTTTGTTAATGGATAAGCAAATGATTATTGACTTGTTTGTGATGATTTAGCAGGGTTAGTGTTCCTAGCATCTTTACTTGATTTGGCCAATAATAAAGCTCTAGTACTTATCTTGGAGGTTAACTACCATTGCTAACCTCCTAAAGAAGCTCATCTTCAGGTTTCAAATAAAAAATTGAAACCATTTTTAGTTTAGTACGCCAATGATTTCTGGAAGCCCTGCATCCATGGTACCCATAATATCTCCCATATTTTCTCTTTTTCCATTTCGTTAGTTTGTGTGACCTTATGCAATTCCAGCTCTTCTTCTTCTTCTTTTCTTCTCTCTCTGTTTTATATTCTTTTCTTTTCTGGAGTTATAATGGAATTGGTAACTTATGCAGCTTAGTTTTGTTTCCTATAAATTTAAAAGTATTCACTTCATGGGTAATGAATTTTCTACTGCAGGCTCCTAGGACATCTCGTGCTAGTTTAGTAAAAGGACGCTCTCAAGCTAATGCTGTTGCTCAACAAGCTTTGATTGCTCATTGGCAGAGCATTGTGAAAAGCCTAAATAATTACTTGAACATAATGAAAGCAAACTCCGTGAGTTTTAAAACTTACGCTCTATGGAAATATTTCTTTCTGAATCAATTTCTTATTACTTGCTCCTTATCTTGTACTTTTACAGGTTCCTCCCTTCTTGGTCCGTAAGGTTTTCACTCAGATATTTTCTTTCATCAATGTTCAACTTTTTAACAGGCAAGTTCTTCCCAGTAACAGGACAACTGTATACGCCAAATGTTTCATCTTATTAATTATTGTCATTACTTACTTTCGTTTATTTATGTTTCCAGTCTTCTTTTGCGGCGTGAGTGTTGCTCCTTCAGCAATGGGGAGTATGTCAAGGCTGGGCTCGCCGAATTAGAGCAATGGTGTTGTTCTGCAACTGAAGAAGTAAGGATTATTCGCAAACAGGCTTGCTTATAGGCCAGCAACTTTTTAATGTGAAACCTCTCATGACCTCCTGTTTTCAGTTTGTAGGCTCCGCATGGGATGAACTGAAGCATATCAGACAGGCTGTTGGCTTCCTAGTGAGTTCAGGACAGTCATTACAATTGGTTATGATGTATCACGTGGTTGCTAATCTATTCTATTTTCCAATTATCTGCAGGTTATTCATCAAAAGCCCAAAAAGACATTGCATGAAATCACAAATGAGCTTTGTTCGGTGAGAAACTGTTCTTTTGCTTGTTTTGTCCTATCCTATTCTTTCCAAGTTCCTTAATGAGTTATTCATCTTATACAGAAATTGATTGTAGCCGCTCCGGATCTTTTTGTTCTCACTTTTAAGGACCTAATTGTTCTTCTTATTATTCTTCAGGAGCTTAGCATACAGCAGTTGTACAGGATAAGTACAATGTACTGGGATGACAAGTATGGCACCCACAGCGTTTCTTCAGATGTAAGTTAGTTCTCACACAAAACAGATGAATTGTCCTTGTACTTTCATTTGAATGGGTCTGTTTCCTTTGGCTGTTCCTAATTTTAGTTCTGGTGTTTATAATTCACTTCTATGCATCTTTTCCTTGAAATTTAGGTTATTTCAAATATGAGAGTTATGATGACAGAGGACTCTAACAATGCAGTTAGCAGTTCCTTTTTGTTGGATGATGACTCAAGGTACTCATGTGTTAACGTGTAGGATTCACAACTTCTGTTTTTTTATGTCAGTTTCATTTTGTGTTAGACTCTTTTAACGTACCTCAACCTTCTCTTGATCACTTGGAAATGAAACAAAGGTCTGAGGCTGCGTTCAAGGTAAACTCAAGGGTGTAATAAACCAATTTAGGGAGTACTATGTGGGTAATTTGAGCATATCCAAGAACCTTCAACATACTACTGAAAAAAGAAAGATCATTATCTGGATGTGTTCTTAGAATAAAAAAATTCTTTTGATACTTACCTTTTTCAACAAAGGTTTTTGACCTTGGTTGAGTTTGGATGTCTATTTTTGATGGATCTGAGATTGTGCTTGTTCCCGAGTACATTGACTTTACTTTCATGAACCTATGAAAAGCATTAATTTTTGCTAACACTAATGCAGCATCCCATTCTCTGTGGATGACATCTCCAAATCAATGCAACCAGTGGATGTTGCTGACATTGAGCCTCCGCCACTAATCCGAGAGAATTCAGGTTTTGCATTTTTGCATTAGAGCTCTGGATGATGATTATCAAGTTTTTATTCTAAATCATCACCTCATCTCTGGAAGATTGAAATCTGCGCATCAGCTGGTGTGCAGAAACTTGTGCATAAATTTTCATTTTCGGTTGCATATTTGTCTTGTAAATTTACTCCATTAGCTCAGGTAACAGTTAATATATGTTATCTGAGTCAATTTTTTGATTCCCCTCGTGCATTTCCCGACACGAGAGGTATTATAGCACAAAGCTATAGGGGCTAGTACTGTGATGGCAATTAGTTAATATAGAGTCATGATTGGTTTTTCAGTTGGTGTGTGCTGGGGATTTGAGTGTAAATTTGAAGCAATTTTAGGTTCTTAACTTTTAGTGTGGACTTAGAATGCAGTTAGGTTGCTACTGTATTTTGAAATACATGTAAAAAGTCTCCCTAAGGTTTTATTGGTTTATATATGAATGACTTGATTACATTCTTTTTCTTTTTGACGTCTTATGAGGTATGATACAGGATTGACGTTAGACTTAGATTTTTTGAATGGCTCTGGTTTTCAAAGGAATACTTCAGAACTAAAATTTGGTTTCCTGCGACTGACGTTGGCCTACACGGTTGTTCCGCTTACTGTTGGGTGGGGCAATTCAATAATGTTGTGCCTATTTTTAGCTGATCTGAACAGTGTCTGAAAAGATTTCATTTTGTGCCGATCTTAACGCCTTTTCTCAAGGTTCCGTCTTGGCTCTTTTAATCTTAGCATGGGCGTATCCTTAATTGATATATTTGCTGTTCTGAACAGTATAAAGAAATTTCATTTTGTGCCCATCTTTGCTGATCTTGGTGCCTTTCCTCGAGTTTGCGTTTTGACTCTTGTTAGTTTTAACATTGCCGTAGCCTTCACTGGAGAAAAGAAAAGGTGTATGCAAATCACATCATCAAATTGTGAAAGTGGAGGGATAGTATCCCATCTTTTGGGCGTTTTTGGTTTTCAGAAAGAAAATTCGAATCACAATAGGTCTGTTGCGTTTCCATTTACTGGTTTGAGAATCTGAATCTGTCACTCGCCGCCGTTTGACCTTACGAATAACAGGGCGCGTAGTTTTAGATTTTCACCGAGGGGGAGAGCCAAACTAATTGCATTTCCGGAATTGGATGTGTAGAAATAAATGGTACGGACTACGGAGTAGCATAAACTTCTTTAGGTGCGGGTCTGGTGTCTCGTGTTTCCTTGAATCAGCCTTAAAGGCAAACTACATCCATTAACCTAGTACTCTATTGACTTAATTCTGGTTATGGACGAGTTAGATATAAACCTGATATGATGAGAAGTGAAACAATAATGTGTTGTCTAGTGAGACCCAAAGGGGAATTTTTTTTTTTTTTGTTTTCATTTTTCGGGTGGGGGCCTCCGGGGGGCCAAAGGCCCTTCACAAAGAAACTAGCCGAAGGGGGACTTTCTCCCATACACATCATTTCGTAGCGTACTCTACTATTTTGGGGACCTCTGAACACTTCGAAGTTTCTTCAAAGAATGCAAACTGGAATATTCCTATATGAATTGTATCAGAGCTTTTGAGTGTCGGAGACTTCGGGTTGTAAACATATCATGTATTCAAGCTTTGGTTTATGAAGCACACTCTCGTTGCAAGTATTATTATGCATCACCACAGGGTGTTTAGTTACTTATTTAGCAAGTGTTGTCTGGTCTAATATAACGGCCACCGTAGAAGATTCGCAGGATGCATTGGATGTCTTCATCTGTGTGTTGCTAAGATGTACCATTCAAATGTAGGACGATCAAAGTTACCGTGCAGGAATTAGAAGCACGCTAGTTATCCAATTATTTTCTCTGTTTTACACTTCAGGTCATCATGAAAAGCACAAGCTATCCATACATGGGGAAAGAATTCCTGTCCCGTAATTTATACTTATTTTTTGCTAAGTAATAGGTGCGCTGCAAAGTTGTATACCTGATTTATCCATTTTTATTCTCTTTTGAAGCAAGACTAGAAACACACTGCCTTGAGCATTTGGTTGGCAACAGCCGAATATGACTGAACGAATAAGGCCATCAACCATTTCGACACCTCTTGTTAAAATAATTTCAAGAAAACAGAAAATCAACTGGGACCCGGTTTATGTTCCCACATCACTGTTCTCTTTACATCAAAACATTAATTCCCACCCTCTGTTCCTAAATCTCGGTTCTAGTTCTGTTTTTTTTTTACTGGAAAGTAAAAAGTTCCAGCTCATCAGATCCGACATCTTGTCAATACATCTCCTCTCAGCTAAACTACTTGTTATGCCCCTCATTGAAGAGTGATCACTTTTAAGGGATTTGTAAAACACATTAATCTACAAAGAATATTCCTGAAAAGTTCACAGCTTTCACTTGTAAAGATGGAGTTTGTAGAATTTATTTTGTACATCACTAAGAGGACTCTTGCATCTCAGCCGAATTACTTGTTCCCATCAAGGCTTCAAGTTCCATGGGCTGGTCTTGTTCAGTCTGCATAGTTTGAGGAACGCATTTACCATATGAGCTCATCGAATTCTCCGGGGCAATTGACTGGTCTTCGATAGTCTGCTCCCGTTTGCCCTCTGATTTCTTCTTCTCTTTAAGTACGTACTGTCTTGGCATTACTTCAAGTAAAAAGTTCCCTCCATTCCATACAGTTGCAGAGAGTTTAAGGATTTGGAAAAAGACAGACAATTTGTAGGACAAAAATATGGGTACTGTAAGTGCCATTGTTGCCACTGTAAATATTCCTTGGAGGACAATATACATAAGCAACCGGTTCTGATCTCCAAGAATACCACTTAAACGCCACCATATGTTGTTAGCTTTCTGTGCTTTTTTGGAGAGCTCTCTGCAAAATAGTGAATGAACAGAACAAAACCAATAAGGCTAAAGATAAAGTCATAGGAAGAAGGATTAAATCAAGAGTAACTGGACATTTCCACTTGTGCAAGAATGTGTGTGTGTGTGTGTGTGTGAGAGAGAGAGAGAGAGAGTAATGATGAAGAATCAGATAAAAAGCACTAACCTGTAAGAGGTCATAACTTCAGGGTCCTGTAAAAGTCTCTGCCTACGGAGGACATCTACAATGAGAAAATAAAGAGCCTGCCAGAGACAGTAAGCAACTAATGGAACAAGAAATAGCCACGTCCAGAGGTTATACTTGCTTTCTACATAAGGCCATGAAGGTCTGCGAGGAGTCCCCTCAGGGTGCATGGCTTCAAAAAACACAGGATCCCACCATCGAATTGTGAAGAAAACCAACCCTGAATTCAGAATTATCAAGTAAGCTACAATTTGCACCGGACAACTGAATAACAAATTTACTTGAAACTACACAAGAAAGAACCATGCCATCACTTCAGAGGAAAAAATTTGCACTCCAGCGAGCGCAACTTAAACAAGAAGATGTATGTAGGCACAGAATAAGAGGGTGTTTTGTGCATATGCCTTTGTCTCTAGGTAGCCTTCAGTAATACAGGTGCTCTAGGAGGAAAGCAAATGATTCTTCTACAGTTATTAGCAATTGTGAGGCATAGCCACACATGCAGACTTGCAAGTTAAGAACGGATGGACGTCCTTTCATTCAAAGGATGTTTATAGTTTACATGACAAGATTTTTTATTATTCTCACACGAGCTTTAACTAACTATTTGCATCAATAGCTCCAAAAGGAGTGCTTAATAAGACCACCATAAACATACAACCAAAGACATCACCATGTAGAAAAATTTCATCAGGCCACATGAAAATGTGACAAAGTATCTTGATGATGCCAAAAATTCTAGTCTCTAAAGTTGCTAAAAGATCTAAAATGTATTAAACAATATAAAGCAATACTCTTAAGTCAAACATATTTGAATTGCCAAAACTTTCTACAATTTTCAATTATTGCAGCTTAGATGTCATACAAGAACAGACAGGATGCGTGATACCCCATAAAACTATTCCAATGCATTCAAATGCACAAAATTCTTATGTTCTTTGTTATTTAAGAATATTGCTTCAGTCATTGTGAGATTTGTACAATTGAAAGAAAGTTTATATACCACCAAAAACTCATAGCAAGAATAACTATGCTGAAAGGAAAATACACAAGTCGCGGCTTGTAGAGCTGAAATACTGTAAGGTTAATTCTATCTCATATTAGATCCATCTCAACAAAATTTCCAAGCATACATCTGTGGACTGCTATCGTTTCCCATTCAGCAGAGACTACAAGGGGCAATACAAGTAATTAAATAAGAAAAATAACATCTGCATATCCACTGGAAAAGATTGATACCATATTTTCTCAAACATAAACAGTTACATAATCAGGATAAAAGCACATATGCAGCGAATGAAGAAGTCAACAGGCAAGCAGATGATAGAAGCAATCAGATGTGATAAAAATGAAGGCCCATAGCTAATAACTACAAGTGCTTAATTCATTCTCATCATCATTAAACTAGACCTAGCTTTCAAGTCGAAATACCTGTTATAAAGGGGGGCTAGACTAGAAAAGAGAGAAGGATGTCCAACTTACCAGGCAAAAGATGTATGAAGACGCTTACAATTTTGTCGAAAGAATTAAAGACTAAGCTGCATCTCCACACAATCAGTGCCCAAGCTAGTGGACCCTGCAGTTATGTGAGAAGTCAAGACATAAAGAAGCAAATCTTAATGCCATTTAGATAAAAACAAGGCATCTCCAGATTGATTGCTTACCTCTGCAAAAGAGAAGCAAATCATGAAAAACTTCTCGTTTCTAGGAAAACAAAGAAGCATGACCAAGAATAGTGTGTTGGCGTAGTAGCAGAAGTCCTGAATGGCAAAAGAAGTACATAGTGACACAAGAGAAAGTACATTTGTAGGAGATGAAGTCTACACTGAAACAGAAAAATTCACAGATAACATGTCCCATCAGAATTCCAACTAAACCTAAAGTGATTTTGTCTAATTAAGACTCTAGAACCTCTTCGACAAGGATCTAAATAACTGAGATACGCAAAACAAAAAATATTTGTGTAGTTAAATGAGCCAAAACAAGAAGTTGCAAAACAGGAAGAGCTTACCAAGAGATAATAATGCCATTTCTTGTATCGATAATAAATCCACCGTAGAGGAACAAATATGACATAGAGCAAACAATATGCATAAGGGACATCTTGAGGCCCTGCGCCACAATAGAAAAGAACCGCAAAAGCAAATTAACAAACGACAATCCACTAGGCCTAACTAATTATTCGAGGGATAAAGATAACTGAATTGTCAAATCTTAAGAGTGTAATACTCACTGGCACCCAACAGAAAGCAGAATGTTCCAAACCCAAGAACACTCAACAAATAAGTCACCTGTCAACCCAGAAAGCTGCCAATCAGTTCAACCTAAAATCGACATCCCATGTCACCAAACCATAAGCAAAGATGCTAGTAAAAGTAAATAAACAAATTAGGAAACAAATATGAGCTACAAAGTTGTTCTTTTAATAGCCACTGAGACCATCTGACAAACATATGGTGGGTTTTGGTCGGTCGGTTACTTGATTACCTTGTTGATGAATCTTTCGTGTTCTTCAGCCCGTTTGGCAATCTTATCTGCATGTTTAGACAAGATCTGTTTGGTTTGAACTGCTTGCTTCGACAACATCTCTTTCGTTTTAGCCACTTTCTGCGCAACAAACAATTCCCAGATGACAAAGAACTAGCCAAATCGCATCACAAACTGCAAAACTAAATCAGATACGTGGGAAAAAATTAATACCTCTGATCGATCTCTGAGCCTTTTTCGAATCAACCCTCCATTTGATTCGCCATTGGAGTCCTCCGGAGAAGAAGATTCTCCGTTGCTATACATTTTCTTGCTCAAAGACTCTCCTGTGTTTTCCCGCAAGTATGAAAAGAAGAAAAGGTGGTGGTGGTAGTGGTGGTTTTCTGTGCTCCTCTCCTTCGCCTGTAATTTTTGTGGGTTTGTGCGACGTATATATAAAACTATAAAAATGCCTAGCAATCAATTAGAGTTTTTTTTTTTTTTTTTTTGGTGTGTGGGGGAGGCAATCAATATGAATTTGATGAAGGAAGAAGTTGTTTATGACTTAAGTTTCCTGTTAATACATTACTCCATTGACGATGCTATATTTATACTCCCAACTGTAATCCGCGGACACCTGCTAAATTTTGAGGCCGAATTTCATTTTATGCTATTTTAACATTCGAGCGAACTAAAAAAAGAAAAAGAAATAAATGCGTGATTAAATAGCCTCTAGTCTTCTAAGGTTATACTTGTATTGTATCCTCACTTTCTAGGTGAAAACTTTCTTCTTTTTTTTTTTAATAATCAATTTCTTATAAGGAACGTACTATTATTCAGAAAATGACATGATTGCATATAATCGAACTTGTAAATATTTAAACTTTGCCTTTTTTTTATTGGTGGTATATGTCAGGATTCAACTTCTTCTTTTTTTTTTTGTAGCATTTTTGTTTGAAAGTATATGGTAAGGTTCGATCCTTATTAAAACTTGCCGGATTTAATTATGTATACACTGTTACAGTTAGATACATGACACATATATAAAATTTGAATTTCAAATTTAAATATATATTAGTTGTCATGCATAGAGTAGCGATAAAATACACATTGTCTGTATACATAAGAATTTTAATACTTTAATTATATGGCAAAATTCAACCTTAATTGATATCAATTAGATTTTACAGTGTTATTATTGTAATGTGTCTCAATTAAAAATTTAATACGTACCATGGATTCGACATTGACCAATATTCTGCGAACCAATTCTATATTAGTTAATCTCTGATAACAGAAGATTGTTTTAGGTCCGAATTATCTCTCTTATTTTTATTTTTATTATATCTCGTTTACACTCCCTCTTCCCCGTGCCACCCAACCCAGCCCTCCCCATCTCTCTTGTTTTTAATATATAGAAATAACTATTGATGTCATTCATGGGATCTGCACTCATTTGCATTTGTGCATTGTGAATATTATTTTAAGATTTGTCTTCAATCTGCTACCATTACGCATGTTGTCTGCAGGTTTAGCTTTGTGCATGAGTTAGACAGACAGATTTATTTGCTATCCGTACACGTTTCTTTCTGGTTGTGGAAAGTTTGGTTTTAAATTTTATGACTGTTATTATTATTAGTTTTTATAATTTTCTCTGAGCAAACACTTTGAACATTTTGGTAACATCAGCACATAGAGTCAATAATGTATTATTACTCACTTTTTGTAGTCTTATAGCCAATAAGTACAATGAAGTGAAGTTGTCATTAGATTAGGGATACCAAGGAACATACTCGAAGCTTCTGTTTCCAAGATTCCTCAACTTTTTTCTCTTTTTTATTTGTTTTAATTCATTGTTGTTCTTATTGATATTTATTTCGATTTCTAAATAGCTAATAGTTAAAGTGCAAACAAATACTTCACACTTTTAGACGAAAAAGAATATTCGATACTTTTGGATTCAAATGTTATTGAAAGACGTCACGCTAATATTTCATTTATGCAGAAGCTTTTGATTGCTTGTCTTTGAAGTTTTTTTTTTTTTTTTGTCTGTGAAAAATATATATTATAATGATTTGATATATGTCAGGTAAAAATGTGACTAAAAAATGTATTCACAGAAAGAAAACGTAAAATTGTTTTTAAAAGAAAATGGCTTTCCGAATGCAGAAATTTTTTAAAAAAAAATACTGAGAGAGAGAAAGTCCCGGGGGGCTTTCTAAGGTCAAGCCTCCAAAAATTCATCTTTAGCCTTGTCCAAGGAGCAAAAGATAGAAGTGAGCGCAGGAAGATTTCTTGGAAGAAAAAGAACCCCAAGTACGCACGGGATGGGAATAAAAATGAAGCCCAGGTACACCTGCGTACGAGTACGAAGCATCAAAGAACGTACCCTAGGCTGGGAATAACCCAACAATGTAACGGTTATCGCATAATTAATATTGGCAACTAGTCTATCGATTGAGCTTTTGGGCTTTTGTTTGGCAATATATGGAAATGGATCACCTGCTCCTAGTACACTTCCCGAGAAAGATGCCACATCCAACTCTCTACACGTGGCTCCCTTGCAAACTCAAGATTCTAGTCCAATCTTCCTCATTTAAGATAGGCCAAATTTTCTTTTTTGTGTATGCATCAAATTATAGATCAATTGTCATTTTTAAAGAGTAGTTAATTTGTTATTTTAGTAACATTCTCATATTTAATGTACATGGCTATTAGAAATTTTTGAATATGTTAGTTACCTTCTAATGGCTCCAAATTGAAAAGTTTGAATGTTTTGCGATTTTATTCTTGCTCTTCATTCTAGTCAAACATGTAACATTAACTACATTAATTCTTGTGTTGAAAAACTAAATCGCTCTAAACTCCAAGAACAATATAGTAACATGTGTCTCTTATTTTCAATGGATGATCTTATATATTAATATGTGTCTCTTATAGTAATACGTGTCTCTTAATAATGGGTATTTGAGCACTTTCAATGAATGATCTAATATTGATAAAAGGTATTCGAGGAAAGTATGAACAAAAAATAAGAGAGCTTTAAGGCTCTACTTGGGTGTATGCCTAAATTTTGTATAATGTAAGTCAAAGAATTTGATCTCTTGACGTTTATCCAATTAGAGCCTTAAAACTCTGTTGATAGCCAACTACTCTAAGCATAGTTGGTTGTAGAGAAATGGCATTCGTTTGGTCCCAAGGCTTTTGTTTTTTTGGATGAAAACTAGTACTAACTATTTCTATTAGTACATACTTATTGGTGTTTCAAAATGTGGTGAATTTCACTTTGCATCCATCAATAATTATTTCTAGTTTGGTTCTTAAATTTTAAAGTGTCATACTTTAGTTTTGTAAGTATAAAATTTGTCTCATTCTAGTTCATACAGTATAAAATCTATTCTATTTGATCTCCAAAATATAAAATTTGCCCCCACTTTAATGTATAAAATATAAAATTTATAAACTAAAATAGTGAAAGATTTTATATTGCGGGGATTAAAGTATGATAGATCTTATGCTTTAGAAACTAAATTGGGACAATTTATATATTTTAAGAATTAAAGAGTCCTATTTTAAAATCCAAAGATCAAAGTAGGAATGGGAGTAAAATTGAATAGTATGAAGTGAAATTAGCCATTTCAAAATACCCTACCATCTGTTTTCCAACAAAAGAGCAAGCATACATGTGTGAAAGAGTATGACAACAAGAAAAGAAAAGAAAAGAAAGAGTCATATGTACTTACGCGTGATGGTATATATATGTGCATGTGTGGAAAATAAAGAATATGTGTAAATGTCTAGATAGGACATGAGATTCGTAAGTGCTATTTTCATATTTATGTCAAATGTCTTATTTATTTAATTTGTGAAGTGCATGCTGTTTATTTAAGTTTTTTCTACCCTCGCGTGCAAGTGAAATTGACACCAAATTTGACACTGAGTAGTAACACAGAAGATCCCAAATTGTCCGTCTTGCATCCATGAATGGGTACTAATAGAATCTTTTAGTAAGTAGTTACTAGCCTCTCATAACATCAACATCCTGCAGCTGCACCCTTTCATCTGCAGATGGACGAGGTTCACTTATTAATTAGTTTTTTTTAAAAAAATTTGACAAACACTTAGTATTAATTAGTCATTAAGCTTGCAGAAGATCCGTGTGATCCCTCGCCCCGTCTTTCAAGGACGAGACTTTTCTGCCATCTGGGCATCCCACTTATTAGACAGTGCATGTCTGCATGGAGATGTAAATAAAGGTACTAGGTGTTGGACCCGCGGGTGTCGCGGGGTGCCCATATTATCTTGTTGTTGAGTGTTAACTGATGATTTTTTTGTAAAGAAGATGTTTGTGTAAGAGATGGATTATAAACAGGAAAGTCGAAACCATGCATTTTTTATATATACATGATCATTGGGAATTGCAGCTTAATACAAAAGTTAGTTGTTATTTGTACAGAACAAAATTCTAGAAAGCTGCTGTGATTCGTAAACAAAAAGTACAATTTTTTGTTTTACATCCAACTGGAATGTAAATTATCTAGTTTAGTTTTTGATGCTTTGTGCTTTCAGAGAAATCTGCCTCAAGATTGCGCTTGATGGAGGATGAGGTCTCTAGCAGCTTTGGAGTTGGCAAGATTATCTTGCACGATCACGACGGCTTTTTTCTAAACGATATTCATCTTCTGAGGAAATTTACGTTTCCGACCCATATGCAATTGTAGCTAAAATTAAGAAAATTCTGTTATCCATGACATTCAACAATAACAATCACAAATCATCTAAAGTTTCTTGAAGCAGACAAAACAAGCGTGAATGAAAGAGATGATTTCCATTTAATAAGCAAAACGATAACAAACATAGAAGATAAAACACAACGAAGTAGAACAGACTAAGCACTAAGCAGATGAGGAACAAATAAGTAAAGGAGAGATTGCTTTACCTGAACAATAAGCTTCGAATAGGATGGTTGAGCTGAGCTGCATGGAATAAACCGATAAGATCACAGAAAAGATAAATATAACATGGAAGTAGCTAACATAAGAAAAGTCAGAGTCCATGCAAACTAAAAGCTTGCAACAAAGAGATGGAAATGATGGGGAAAAGAAAATGATAAAAGCATAACTTGAAGCATACGAAACAAAAATAAGCAAACACAGTGAAAGAGCAAAAAGTTCACCAAACGAACAATGTAATAAACAGCTATATTAGGCGCAAAAGTGGAGAAATACAGTAAAGGAAAATAGGCAGCACCTGATTGAAGTGAGCCAGAAGGAGGAAACTGGAAACAAAAATCACCAAAAGCTGGCACAAGATGGAGGCTTAATAGAAAGACGCCGGACAAAAGAGAAAGTCTAAGCAAAGAAACTGACGGTGGAAAAGCTAATGTAAATATAGCACATAGAGTGCTTAACTATATAAAGAGCCTGTGCTTTGGTAAAAGCAAGCACATGCATGCATTAAATCTACGTAATGATTGCAAGTCCACTATGATAAAAGAACCAAACGAAGCAAGCATATCTATAATCACCGAACGAACCAAATA